GCTTTTGCTGAAATTTTAAATAAAAAAATGTCTGGGCAGCATTCTGTATTTTACTGAATAATGATCTTGACTAAGACTGTAATTTTAGTTTTGATGAGAGTAAGGCTGAAAGAAGACTTACAATGACCACAAACTAAGAGAGAAACAAGATGTAGTGAATAGGTAGAATGAAATAATACTGTTCTACTGAGAAGCAGCCCTGAAGAAAGGAGAGGTCAAAACTGTGTTACATGGATTTACCCAGTTGTCAGTTTCAAGGCTGATTCTGACTGCATAGGAAGGAAAGGGTCAGTGAGGTTTAGTTTCATCTTAATAGGGTAATATTCACAGATATGACTGGAATCACAGTTATCTTAAAATAGAGGGGATAAAAGAAGTGCCCAAATTAGCATGCATTCTGTATTGGGAGAATATAAGTTAATGAGGCTTTATTATGCTTTTAACAAAATACAGTAGATATCATTTACCATAGTGAAAAATGCACATATATATCCTTAACATAGTTAGATGGTAGGCTCTGGGTTGACCTACACTAACTTCCGGATGAGGGACTAATTGGCTTCTTGTGACAATTATTTGCTTATGCACATATCAGCTTCGTGTATTCATTCAAGAATCTATCGCAGCATTGCAGTGGAAATTTTAGAAAGAGGATTCTGAAAGAAAAGAAAATGGCTTTAAAAATTACTAACTCAATCTAAATTATTTGTTTCGAAACAGTGAAATGAGACTATACCATGATTATTTTATCAACGGACCCTTTTCTTTGCATTTTAGGCTGCAGCTAGACATCAGTGTTCTTACTTAATAAACATGCATGTGGATGAATTTCTAAAGACCGGAGGTATGGCTGAGTGGTTGAATGGTTTGGAGTATATACCACAAAGACTGAAAAACCTTAATGAAATAAATAAGCTGCTAGCACACCGGCCCTGGCTTATCACAAAAGAGCACATTCAGGTACTGTGTGTTTTTTTGAAATCAAGGGAATTTTACTAATGATTTTAACTAAGAGTTAATTATTTAGTTAAGTGTTTTGCTAGACTTAATTTTAAACCTTTACACATTAAGAACTTGAAAAATAACAGAATAGTATATTAATATATGTTGTTGTTATTAGGTGCCGTCGAGTCGGTTCCGACTCATAGCGACCCTGTGCGTGCACAACAGAATGAAACACTGCCCGGTCCTTCACCATCCTCATAATGGTTGTTATGTTTGAGCCCATTGTTGCAGCCACTGTGTCCATCCATCTCATCAAGGGTCTTCCTCTTTTTTACTGACCCTCTACTTTGCCAAGCATATGTAAATTTAGAAAGTGGGTTTAATTTAAGTATAAAATGAATCATTCTCTTTAAGCAATCTGTAATTAGCTTGTACAAGTACTTTGGTGAATGGCTATGAAAAGTGTTGATTTCTATTTTCAAGCAGTAGGTAGAACAAAGTAAATACACTAGCATACTGGGTACCTGGGTTTTAGTCTCTACTCTGTTCGTCACAAGTTTGTGACCTTTAGTAAGTGAACTGCTGTGGGCCTCCATTCCCTTCTCTGTAAAGTGAGGGGGCTGGATTAAATGAGCTCTAAACTCTTTCCTAGTTCTAATATTTCATAATTTTAAGGTTCTCAAAAAATGATTTTCCAAATAAAAAGGGATCTGCTAGCTGTTGTGAATCAGGAAGTACCTTTAGAAAGAGCTTAGATAAGAATTAGACTTGTGATTAGCTAGAGCACTTGCATTTTGAAAGGAACTTCCATCAAAGCCCTACAGGATGAGATGATTATGCAGTGTGCTCAGCACTGTGGTTGACACCTGGTAAATACTCAATAAGTAATAGCTGTGATCTAAACTAGGAGCCTGGGTGGTGCAAACATTGCAATCTGCTGCTAACCAAAAGGTTGGTGATTTGAACCCACCTAGTGCCTCTGTGGAAGAAAAGCTTGACAATCTGCTTCTGTAAAAGACTGCAGCCAGGAAAACCCTAAAGAGCAGTTCTGTTCTATAACACATGGGGTCACCATGAGTTGACACAACATGGTCTAAATTATTATCAGTAGAAGCCTTTGTTATTTAAAATCTCTGCTTCTAATGCCTAGAAACGTCCTTGTTTTTTTGACCCCCCCTTACTAGACTACATATTTGTTATTTGTCCAGTTATTTAACAAAATTTGGCTTTTATAAATCTCTATAAATTTTGTACATCTTTTTATAAATCTCTGATTTTGATTATATATCTGGAAATCTGTGAAGCCCAGTACTGCCTTAGGATTATGTATGGTTTGATAATCTTTCCATTAGATAAAGGAATCAATCATTATTTTTATTTTGTGTGTTGATTACTTTGTGCCAGATACCTTGGTGGGTCTAAGAAGATAAAGACCCTGCCATTGGATTCCTAGGAGTCTAGGGAGAGGAAAGGCAGGGAGGTAAAGACAGTAACCACAGCACAATAGTGCTGTAAGAGTTGTATGAATAAAGAGAATGACATCAGAAAGTTGTCAATGAGAGTAAGAGAAGCTTTCATGGAAGAGGTAACATT